AAAAAAAAAAAAAATCTTCTCTCACCCATGCAGGGTGGGAAGATCATGAAAAGGGCTAGTTGATATATTATTGTTACTAAAAAGGATATTAGTTTTGCATATGATTGACGCCAAGAGTGAAAGCAAAGAAGAAATTTACATTTCAAAATAAGGTAATGAAAGAACTCCATTTCACTTCTTAATTATAGATCAAAGATCTCAGAAGAAGTAAAGTCGAAATACCCATTGCATCTAAAATGGATACTAAACTTCACAATTAAAAAATAAATTAGAAGCTTAATGAAAAAAGAAGATTTTACATACAGCTACACTCTCTTTATCAAAAGCACCAAATGATGATTTCTTTTTATTTTTTTTTGGTAAAGAAATATTGCACAAAATGATTAAATTTTTTTTTTATTTGGATAAGTAATTACTGCACCAAACAATGAAATGCATTTTCAGGATCAACATATGTCGTTTGTATGGCATCAGAAATCTAACAAGTCTTACCGTGGTGTCCTTCATGTCGGACACAACATTCAGCAGCCTCCGATATTGATCCCTGGCCTCAGGATATTGAACCATCGACTTTACCCTTGCCAGAGCCTTCTGCAACCTTTGCTCAGTTTGCTTTCTGCCTTCTTTTAAAAAATCATAGTCATCCTCCTGCACTGGTCGATCTTGCATGTTGCTTCCTTCAGTAAGTGTTGCTTCTGGTTTAAACCCACGCAATCCACTTCCTTTCCGCCTCCATCGCAAAATTACCTTCTCTAAGATCCCCACAGACCATATTATGTTTTTGTATTTGTTCCTTACCTGGTGTCCTCTTACATGAGCCTTTCAACAACCAAAGAAAAAAGAATATGGCTAAGAAAAAATGACAAGACAAAGTTGTGTTGAGAAATTATTTAGCAAAATGATGCATTATGCATGCATAAAGGTTCAAAAAGTAAGTACCATACCTGAATTTTAATAATTCGTTGGCGGATTAGAAGATAGTCTCTTCTTCCCTTCCAACTGCGAAATTTATTTTGTATACGCACCGCAGCAGTGTGTACCGGCTCATCATGTTGACCAGCCTTGTTTGTCTTCAAAGCAAGAAGAGAGAGAGCATGCTCATCTGATAGTCCAAATTCACTGCCACCGTGTTCTTTTAGCTGCTTCCTCTGGAACGACTGCACCCTGAAGACTTGGTGAATACGAGCGGCTGCTTGAGTTGCATTACGAACAGCAGCTAGAGAATCCTTCAATGAGACTCCATGTGGCCAGTCACCATCCCAAGCTGGTGTAGCTGACCGTTCAGAAACTGTTTGAACAGCCTCTCCAAAGGGTTGCACAGTCTCACCCTGCTTCATTTCCTTCAACTCGAGAGAAGAAAGGTGGGAGCTTAAGGATGACTCTGCTAAATAACCAGCAATTCCTTTATGTCCATTGCTAGAAGCTAAGTCAGCAGGTGTTCTTCCTGAAGGATGTTTAGGAGTAGGATCTGTCAATGCTCCAGGAGCTGCACCTAAGGAGATGATGAGGAAACCCACTGTCCGCTCTCTGACATTGCAAATTTTCAAGATACATCAAATAGTTAAAAAGAAAAAGAAAGAAAAAGGAGGGAGCTAATCAGTATTCGAGTAACATTTGATGAAAGCCATCTCATCATCCTATTTGTCAAAAATATTTGAATCCACTAAAATTGAAGAGCACAGAATTCAACTATTGGCAAGTTCTAATATCCTTGTGTCCATTAAAGTTGGTGAAAGCCACCACAAAAGTACATGAAAAGGCAAAACTAGAAAATGTATCACAAGACAGTTGATGATAAAAAGGGACAAAACTCTGACAAATTACCTTCCATAAGATGCTGCCCAATGGAGTGCAGTCCATCCATTCACATCTCGGAAATTGACGCTTACACCTGCAGCTATAGTAGGTGGTATAGCCCAGTCATAACCAAGAGCTGCCGCAAAATGTAGGACTCCTTGACCACCCTCGTCCAGTACGTTAGGGCCTTTCCCGCCTTCAGCAACCTTTTGGAGGAGCCAAACACGTAACTTCTCTTTTAGAAGCTTTTGTAGGAGCTGGTCTTTTACCTTCTCCGCCATAAAGTTGTTCTCATAAGTAAGGTTCAACATTTCTTCCCACTCATTGTCATCCTCTTTTAGCAATGAATTGATTTTACTGCACACATTGGAAACATCATCCTCGCTGCGAGGCGGAGAACTTAGGGAAACAGTGGATTCCAAAGATAATAATTTTCCGAATCTCATATGAAGAAGACTTTCACTGGAGCTGCAACTATTTGCAACATCAACATCTTGGCTCTCACTGACCCTAAATTCAAATTCTCTTACTTCACTACATGCCAACCTATTGGAACATGTTATATAAAATGGAACTCTTCCCACCTTTTGATTAGGTGTATGGCAGCGTAGAACACCATCAGCTATTACTTCTGCTGGAACTTCCAACTCACCAAACATGCATGCCCACTTCTCCACTTCTGGCTGGGATTTCAAAAACTTCCCGGTGATGAGAACCTGTTAACAAAACAACAAAGAGTTATCACCCATACATGAATGGAAGACTTCAGATTATTTTAGAGCAATAAAAAACGAGGTGAGACATTAAAAATCTTAAACAGAACCCTGGCTTCCATGTGGAATGCATGATAGATATAAAAGTTCACCTTAATTTCTGACCCAGCAAATGCCCAGCTTGGTGAGAAATCAATAATGCTAAAGAACTGATCTTGGGAGAGTGAAGGACTTAGCATGTAGGTGTCTAACTGCACTTGCGAAGCAATTGTGGAATTATCAACTCCATCGTCATCTCCGACATTATCCCAATAGGAACTAGAATTGGATTGCATATGTGGCTCACTTACATCTTCAAGTTCCTTACTCATCCACCGGTCAAAGCTATCAAGCTTCTTTAAACCTTCTCTCAAGACGCCATCTAACAAAGGTTGTTTTAAAGATGAATGATCGGTTCTGACCCCTATGCTTAGATTGTGATCTAATTCAGCATTTAGAGAGCCTCCAACATTTGCATCTGAAAGTTGTGATGGAAGTTCATTCTGCATTGGATGTTTATCTTGGTGGGAAGGAAGTATATGGGAAGCTTCCAAGGAATTGTGAAGTTCTACATTATATGCAGCACTAGACCTGATGGTATGATCAGATGCCAAATTCGGATTCAACTTCTGATCCATGGACCACTTGGATATAAATGCAGCATCACCTTCAGAAGTCTGCATCTCAAAGTTGACAACTTCAGTTAATAAGAAAACCTAGACAACATCACTGTACTTAGTCTACATGCAAACAGGAAATAAATGTGCTATTGATTTTAAATATCAGTCATCACAAATTTATCATAGTGCTGAAAATCAATGAATTTATGCTAAAAACAATTACATCAAATAACTAAGAGATTCTCAAAGCACTTGACAGAGAAAATTATTGCGGCAAAGAAAAGCCTTCCAAAAGCATGTGCTTAGTTTGCAGATTTTCCTGAAAAAATCAACATTTG